TATATATATATATATATGTACCATGTGGTTTTCCGTGTCCGCGCTTGTGAATAAGAGGTCAACCCCCCGTGTGGATATATACCTACTCCTGCGAAGCGAGAAAATTCGCTTTTACTTGTATACACAGCCCCATCCTTGGCCCCTCCCACGAGTCCCTTCTTTCAACGAGGGCATTGTTGATTACTTATACCCTCAATCATCCGAACGCGAATAAATGAAAAAGAAAGTTACGAAGGAACAAGAGCACGATGCAGTGTGCCGTGACTCGACGCGACCAACAAATGAACAACTCTTTAATACGTACTCGCGTACGTGGTGTGATCTTAATGGTATACATTTAGATGATGCCTGTCCGGAGCACAATATACACGTCTCTCGACTGAAATTATACTTATACATACATGGATATGTGCTCGAGAGGAGCTAACAATCGGAGAAAAGACCAACCAGCTCCAGCTCCTGTTTACTTATACGAGTGTTGTTCCCACTGCGGCTGATTCAAACGTCATTTCTTCAACAACACTTCCCTCCCAAACTGCAGTTTCGCTGTACCACGTATACAGCCCCATGTATTATTAAGGGCGACCAAGAGTAGCACGGCTCGCGCACGAAAATTCATTAGGAGCATATGTGCTGTTACTTGCTCGTAGTCCCCCACACCACGCAGTTCATATGTATATAAGCATCATATTGCACAGAAGATGAACAAGTACCATGTAGGTACACCAAAAATCGTATACGTGTGTAGGGGGCTGGGTGGCATATCTGGAGTGCCAGCGCGTGTCCGACAATGCGCACTTGTTTCCACTTGGAGCACGCCCTCGAGAAAACTCCCAACCTTTACCTTCTCGATAATATTTATTCTGTAGGTATATATATATGTATATATATGTATTGTGTGTGTGTGTGTGTACTGAAGAGCCCTCTCGGTGTACCGCAGTGTTGTATATACACGGCGTCACGTCCACGAGAAGTTTCTCCCTTCGTTGTGCACGTATAGTCTGGTGATGCACGCAAACTGCAACTTTCGTGGCCTCGTTGTTATTATTATTATAATAATGGTAGGA